CCTAATTTGCATACAGAAAGAAACTATGGCCCCCGGCCGCTGCAGCGATCATGGCCCCCGGCCGCTGCAGCGATCATGGCCCCCGGCCGCTGCGCGGCCCAGTGCCAGGTACTCCACGGCCCGGCACCGGTCCGTGGACCGGGGGTTGGGGATCACTGCCTTATCGAGTAATTTTTATTTTTGCTTATCAAAATATTCATAATTTCAAATTTTTAAACTTCTTTTTTTCTTCAAACTATAGGTACGAACATTTTACATCTTGTCTTAATCAAGTGATAGGCCTCCTTCATGGAAGAGATTCTGATTCTTCAGCAAAGGTACTTTCTAGGTGCACAATAGTGTGTGTGAAGTAATCTTTTATATTATTGATGAAATGCAGTAAACCACAATAATAAAAGTTATTAGTGCATAACATCTACAAAATCTACATAATTCAAATGATTAAAGTAAGCTTAATGTTAATGAGGAAAAATAAACTAATAAAAACACCATGTAATATCAATTTAAGATTAATCTTAAATCATTAATCTTAACTCTATTAATATTAATGTTAACTCTAGACCATGTAGAAGCATATTACTTTATTTCTCATTTTTAGAATATAAAATGTTTCAAAAGTTAATAACAAATATACAATATATCTTGCATCCATTCCTTAACATCAGGAAAATAAGTTTCTTTCCATTTACATACATTTATAAAGCCTTGATAAAACTATACCTCTCCTTAAAGTTCCCAATTTCATATTTTAAAAAATAGTTCAACTATTGTCTTCACTTTTGGGAGCATTCTCTGGGACCCCACTCTCCTGGCTTTTCAGAAATATCTGAAGACCTGGCTCTGCTATCTTTCTTGGGGTTCATACAGGAGCATGCAGCCATGGAGCTAGTTAGGCCTCCCTTCGTCTTTTTAATTTTAATTATTTTAATCCTGTTTTTCTCCTAATATAAATGTATACAACCTATATGCTTTTATATTGTAATTGTACACTGCCCAGAGTTGCTCTCTGATGGAGATGGGCAATTCCTAATTTAGATAGATGATAGATAGATAGATAGATAGATAGATAGATAGATAGATAGATAGATAGATAGATAGATAGATAGATAGAATAAATTAAATAAAAAACAAAACAATGAAAGAGCCAGCTTAGTGTGGTGGTAAGGCATCAAGCTAAAAACAAGAAGACCACGAGTTATTAGTCCTGCCTTAGGTATGAAGCCAAGCTGGAGTGGCCTTGGATCATTCATGGTCTCAGCCCTAGGAAACAGGCAACAACATGCTGGGACCTGCCCAGGCGATTGCCAGGAGTGTTCTCCCTCCACCCCAAAGTTCAACTATGATATAGCTTTACCATCTCCCTTGTCTATGCTAACATGCTATAACTTGAAATAAAAAAGAACTGCATAAAAAGAGCTCTGTTGTTTAGACAAACATACACAAAGAATTAATATTTGTTTTTTTAAAAATATTCTTTGATCAAACAATATTTTCTGATGAATTAACCTCATTCATCAATCATATTTTATATTTCTTAAGACTTGAACCATTGATTTTCCAGGACTTGGGTATACATTTATTTACATAGCTGCCTTTCAGTTCCTACTATTTCAGTTCTTTGTACCTCCAGTTATAAAATTTAATATGTTAGACAGCTTTTCTAGATAGCTTTCCTTTGGATACCTGTCACACTTCTCTACTCACTGTCCTAAATTAGCTCCTTTTCTATCTCATCAGTGCTGTCCTCAGTTATACACTCTGCAGATTTTCCTTGCTGATTCTACTTGCTCCAGGTGGATCTTTCATTGCATATTTCTTCTTCCTCTAGTAATCCTCCCTTCTTTTCTTCAACTGCTTTGGTCATATTGTTCCTTTACAATACAAATAGCAGTTCCATTTCACAGAAACTGACCGCATCAACCAAAATCTCCTTTGCTTGACAAAATTTGTTGGATGGAGATTATGGAAGGGTCAGGCATCAATTATTCTCGGAATAAAGCATCCTTGTATTGATAAGGGAAAGGAATTATTTTCAGTCATTGAATACCAGAAGAAAATAGTGGTTTATTTTTCTATGTCCCTTTGTAATTCTTCCCCTTTGTATGCTTGTGTAGACTTTCTGTCCTGATTCTGACCCTCTGTGTGACAGTATGTGTTTCTGTGCCTCTTTGTGCCCTTTCCTATCTGTTTCATTTTCTGTGCCTGTGATCTATATCAGCCGTTTTGTGGTTCTGTGTGACTGTCCTAGACTGTCCATGTCTATTACTTTGCTCTTCTTTCTGATTTAAAAAAAAACAACTGAAAATGTAGATAGTAGGAAAACTATCAACTTTTTCTTACAGACCATAATACCCTAAGAGCCTGTTTGTTATTTGTCACACTTTCGCAGATTCATTTGCTCACATAGCATCTTCTCGATCTTTGCATAATCAAGATGCAATCCAAAATGATTAATGCTATGTTATGTCCTGAGATAAACTAAAACTTCTTGAAGAGATAGTTTGCTAATTTTTAAAAAAAATATCAAACATCAATGCTGCAATGCTTAAAATACTGTGTCAGGGTTCCAAGAAACACCTGCAACGAAAGAAAACTCCAAGGCTTGAGTTTCCTCAAAGTTCCACTTTATTAGAGATGTCATGTTGGCACATCTGGGAAAACCCAAATCTGAAAGCTTCCAGGTTTTCCCACCCAGTTGAAAGGTCAAGATCCTGCCTCAACATCCAAGATCCTGCCTCAACACCCATAATTTTATCACATAGAAAGATTCCTCCCATCCACATCCGTCCAGGTGCAGGGACAAAGCGACCATGACTTTCTGAGAAAAAAATGTTGTTATGGCTACAGATCACCCATACTCTGTATAATCCCCCCTCCCCTTTTCCTACAGTGGAAAGTGTGGCAGGCCTGAAATCCAAAAAGTAAAAAAATGACTTCCAGGTCTGATATAGTGAATGAAATGAACAATTTTTAGTGTGCTTCAGCAATAAAGCTTTGCATCATAAATCTGAAATTGTAAATATTAGTGTAAAGAATGTTATTCTAATAATTCTTGTGTTTTTCAGATATTAGAATTGCTACTTGCATTTTGTTCAGTGACACAACTCCGTCATATTGTACGTCAAGCAGTACTGGAACCAAATGTAGCAGTCTCTGCAAGCACAAGACTTGCAACTCGTGCTAAGAATTCTGACTCATCTATTGTTTTAGTACATTGGTCAAACCAGCCACTAGAAGTATCTGAAAAGTGTTCAAATCTTGCTTTGGAGCTATTCAGGGAGCTATTTGAGGTAATGAATTCAACGTGCTTTGGGTTACTTCTAATTTTTTGTAGGAGGAATGTTTATGGTAGCCAAAAAATTATCAAGGAATCTGGTAATACTTATTTTTACTAATAAATTTGATTAAAAAACTTATTTCGTGAACTTCAGCTCATTTCATCAGATGTAAAGAGTAGCTAGTTTGATACCAGATTTAAATTAGGATGGCAAGGATGGATGACGAATAGTATAGAATCTGCATAGAATCAGGCGGACATTGTTAGCATTTGATCACATAAGAGAAAAATATATGAAGACACTTTTTAACCCGTGTGTATACTTGTTAGGGGCCTGTGAAGTAATAAAATATTTATAAAAATGAACATTTGAAAATATTTAGGCAAAAATTAAAGCTCTTACAAATTTTCTTATTTAAAAAAAATACTTTATTATTTTCCTCATCTAAGGACCTATTACCTACAATTTGTAAATTCTTGTAATAAAATAACTCATTAATTATTATTTCATTTTTTTTAAGGGAAAAGATAAGATTGTGGTTATGGAAATCAGATCAACAATTAACAGTTATATTTTTGTAAAACAATGGTAAAAATAGTCTATTTAAGCTAATATGTCTAAACTATAATCCTTTTAAAACTACAAACTAATAAAATTAAGCCTTGGTAGCACAGTGGTTAGAGTACAGAACTGCAGGCTACCTCTGCTGCCTGCTGGCTGCCTGCAATTTGGCAGTTTAAATCCACCAGGCTCAAGGTTGACTAAGCCTTCCATCCTTCCAAAGTGGGTAAAATGAGGACCCAAATTGTTGGAGGCAATATGCTGACTCAATAAAACCGCTTAAAGAGGGCTGTAAAGCACTATAAAGTGGTATATGTCTAAGTGTTATTGGTATTGCTAAGGTCAAATCAAATTTATATAAAATTTTATGGTTGGATTGTATTTTTAAAAATAATAAATTTGACTCCAATTTAAGTTTGGTGACATAGGATGATTATTTAATTGTTTCAATGCCATTAAATTGATAATATTTCTGTTATAGGATGTTATTGATGCTGGCAATAGTGCAACTGCTGAACGCTTTGTGGATCTTCTTTTGCCCATTCTTCTCGACCATCTTCAGTTTCCTGACCACATACTAGAAGATCTGTTGAAAAAGAAAAAATGTGAACGAATGATCAAGACTATTGATATCTTGATAAATATCCTTCTTGAAAATTTTTCTTATTGAAGATTGCGGGGAAAAAATCATGCATTTGAAATAAGTTAAATACATTTTAATTACATAAAGCTTAAAACAAATTCTCTATTGGATAAAAAAGAAAAAAAGATTTAAGACAAAATAGAGACACTCATCTAGCTAATTTTAAAACAGATAAGGATATTAAACTTTTTAAAATGTTTAAACATTTTCTTAGTGTTTTATATAGGAAATGCATATGTAATAATGCATCAATAATTGGCACTTAATAACTGAGCAGATTTCTTGATATTTACTTATTTTCCTTTCAATGTCTGTATTATTGCATGATACCATATATATCTAGCCGAAATATTTGCCATTATAAATTTATAATATTCAACAGAAATTAAGAAAAAAATAACCATAATAAAATTATAAATTATTATTTGACTTATTTGGGAAATTGTGATAAAATACAGAAGAGCATTCTTCATTTGCCAGTTATTGTGGACTTTGCTTAAAGATTCCCAAGTTTTGAACAAGTTACTTTGAATTAGATTTATTTTCCTGTTTAGACTTTCATTTTGCATCATTAGGAAGTTTTACTTACAGACAATCCTTGCTTACTGATCACAATTGAGACCAACAATTCTGTCACTAAATGCCATAATGGCTAAGTAAAAAAATCAGGGGACTTAAAACTTTGCATCTGCTTTTGATATTAAGCAAATTCTTGCACTCATCCAGCAAAATATCATGGAACAGCAACTTGCAATTTCCCTTCCACGTTCTCCATGAATTCTGCTTGTTAGAAGCTGTTTGTGAAACATGTAAATAGCACTCATGTGACCGTAGATGTTATGGTATGAGGCTGGATTGCAAAGCTAGGGTTTTTTCCTAACCAGAAGATAATATATATAGTTCAAGGTTGAACTGTGAAGCCTTTGATGTTTTTGAGCTTTGTTGTTTGCTTGCAGATGGTTTATTACCCATCTAGGTGCAGAATTTGCTTCCTATTTGCTCCCTGGTAATATAAAAGCTTCCAGTTTTGCCTTCCAGTATTAGTGGATATATGATTTTTTTTCTTTTGTAGTTCCTTGATTAGGGTATTTTCTTTGGATTGTTTGTTTGATGTTAATTCCTCCTTTCTTTTTCTCCAACCAGCAAACTTTGAAAGGTTGTTAAACAAAGAATCAGTAAGTGAGGAATATAACAGTATTCATTAGTGAATTTGACCATAAATTGAATATTTCAGAAAAACAGAATCCTTGACAGAATGTACCTCTTTGTGCAGATGATATGCTGAAAATGCATGTCATTAAAGTTTTAACAGCTAGCAAGTGTGCTACTTTAATAGAAAACCAATTTACTTCTAGTGGAATTGATTTTAGTTTTGGGACAAAATTTGTGGACTGTGAATTGAGGTAAGCACAACCTAGTATTTTTATAATTCCTTTTTATTTTTTCCAACTTTGGAAAACTTTGTAACTTTGTATTTCAAAAGAATAAATCAAAATTTTGCAGGGAATAGTCCCTATTATTATGAGCTGTGATGGCTCAGTGGTTAGAATGCAGTACGGCAGTCTTCTTCTGCTGACTGCCGGATGACTACACTGACTGCATTTTGGCAGTTTGAATCTCACCAGGCTCAAGATTGACTCAGCCTCCCATCCTTCGGAGGTTGGTAAAATGAGGATCCAGATTGTTGGGGGCAATATGCTGACTCTGTAAATTGATTAGAGGAGCTGTAAAGCACTGTAAAGTGGTATATAATTCTAAGTGCTATTACTATATATTATAACCAAAAATTTCAGCCCACTTTATCATCTTTAAACTGTTCTTCATGTTTCAAACTGTTTCAAAACAGTTGTTTCAAAAGCTTATCTATGTTACATGTTATGTAACATGTATAAGCATGTTTCAAAAGTTTATATATTGCAATTACATGCTCATTATCACTACACAATAGTACTTCAAATTCTACCTTATTTTGCCCAAAACCATGTCTTTATTTTTTTAAGCTTCCTGATAACTGCAGATGGAAAGCCATTGACAACTATATCCTTCTGCCATTACTTGCTCTCTTGTAAAAGTAATTATTTTAATTTTGAATGCTTATTCATTATAAAATGTTCTCTTAATATTTTTTAGCAAACTTTCTGCTGAGCTAATCTTAAAAACACTGGATCTGATGAGTAAGCTTAAGCAGCTGGTTCCTAATATGGAAGTCAGTTTTTACAAAGTTCTTCAGGTACAAAGTTTTAAATATTTATATTAATCACTCTAGAAATGATACATGTCATTCTGATCATTTTCTAAAAGTGACTATTGGACTTTTCAAACCAACCTTCCATAGCCTTTAAAAACATAAGTATAACCTGAGGAGGTGAAAAAGGACTAGAAGGTGATGCCAAAAATGTATCACTTGAACTGTTTGTACAAAATCCTGTGTAAACCACTGTTGACTGTTTTGAAAAAGAAAGGTTTTTTTAAACTAAAAAGTGTTCTATATTTAGGACCAACGCTTGGTTACCCCTCTGGCTTTTGCTTTAACATCAGACCACAGAGAACAAGTTCAAGCAGGACTTAGAATATTATTTGAAGCAGCCCCATTGCCAGACTTTCCTGCCATTGTGTAAGTTTCCTATTGTTTCTTTTAAAAAAATTCTACCTTTCATAAAAATGTTTTTGAAAATCTACCTTGAGTCACTGCCATTATTTCACATTTTGATCTTATTCTTTAAGAGACACACTTTCTCACAAATATCACCTTTTATGTGTGATGCTTTTATTAGGCTTGGTGAAAGTATTGCAGCCAATAATGCTTACAAACAACAGGAATCTGAGCATGTCTCTAAAAGAAGAAGTCACCTGCAGACATCCATGACTTCTGTAAATTCAGTAAAGCCCTCTAATGTTTGCCATCCCAATGATGGTGATGCTGCAACTTTCAACATTCAGGACCTGATTCACAAACTCCAGTCTGGCTTGGAGGTTAGTGCTTTTAACACAAACATGAAAACATTTTTGTCTTGATCACAGTACAGTGTAGCTCAGTGTGGGACTTGAATCTACAGTATTCAGAAATTTGGACAAACTCCACTAAATATCCGAGTGAAGTAAATTGATTTTGTAAGACAATAAATATGAAGCCTTGCCTATAATTACAATGCTTAAAATTAATATGCTATAAAAACAATTAATATGGAAATAAATGGATTTTCATTTGTTTGGTTTTGATACACATTAGTTATAGGGGCACAGAAAACTTTGCTATGCAGTATTTCAATAATTATATTAATACCATTAATACCTGGGTTATGTTTGACATCAGTTTGTGAATAGAATTTGTGTAGTTATTCCTCATATCAAGTTTTTTATTTGTCCATATAGGTACAATTTTGAATTAAGATTTGCATATTGCTTTAGCTTATATTATGAACATTTCTAACAGATGAAGGAATCAGTCACAGACATCAGGGTCTCTGAAATAATAGAAGTATATGAACAGAAACTGTCTGCATTGGCAGTGAGTATATGTAATAAGCCTTTTTTTTTCATGTGTGTGCTCAATATGCGGTTCATTTTGCAATAATTTTCTTTTAAGTCCAAGGAAACAAGGTTGCAGGACCTTTTGGAAGCAAAGGCGTTAGCTCTTTCTCAAGCTGATAGACTTATTGCCCAGTATCGTTGCCAGAGAGCTCAAGCTGAATCTGAGGTAGGTAAAGCTGAATTATCATATAAGGATTAATTTATTATGTACGTACATCTGTCAATACAAAATTGCTCATGTAATTTGCTTTATTTTGTATTTGAAAATAAACTAGATTATATATTTCACTTGGCGCTATCCTTTTATGATTATATATATTTGTACATCTGCAAATTACACTTTAAAGGCTAATTTGCTGTCTGGGTTCTTGAAATCTAAAAGCCTTAAGTGCTGGTTTAGTATTAGCATGGTTGATTGCTCTAGTGTCCTAACATTTCATTCACACAATGGAACTGTCATTTTGCACAAATTCCAAAAGGCTAGGACGCTTGCTTCAATACTGAAGGATACAGAAAGAAAAAATGAAGATCTGGAGTCACTAATGAAAGCACAGCAAACAGAATCTGAACGGGCACAAAGTGATATTGAACAACTATTTCAGCATAATCGGAAACTGCAAACAATAGCAGAAGAATATGAGATACTGAAAAGATCTTCCATTGATCTGCTTCAAAAGTAAGATATAACTCTGCTAAGCATTTCTCTATAGAAAGCAAGAGAGAGAGAGAGAGAGAGAGAGAGAGAGATTGCATTCAGACTATATATAATTATTTATATCATCAAAAAGGATACATATGAAGATTTAATTTTTTGACAAATAGAATTTATAGGCTCTATAATTAACATTGCTATGTGTCCAACCAATCTAGTTATATCTAGCATTATAAATATTTTGCTTAAAGAACAATATTGGATCAATTTCAATAAAATCATTTTATCTTAAATAAAGTAGCTAGTGCGTGCGCATGTGTGTGTGTATATATATATATATATATTCAAAAGCATCCACATAAGAATTGAAAAACTATTTTGCCATGGAACCCATGTGAACTTAATTTGATATTTACAGGTAGTCCTTGACTTACAATCATTCGTTCAGTGACTATTCAAAATTACCATGGTGTTANGGGTCTTTTCCCGTGTAAGATTGAGAGTTGCCAAGATACTCTCAATCTTACACGGGAAAAGACCAAGTACACCAAGATCTGCATGCATGCCTATATATACAACCACAAAGCCTGTTGTTGCATTTTTAATCATTTTGACTAGATATTTTAATTGTAAGATTTTAAGGAGTACATTTTCAACTAAAAGAAAATTATTGTAGTGCACCCTGAATTAGGCTGCAACTTTAATCTCATTGCATTTTTAAAGGATTTTTTTTCCTCTTTGTACTAGACGAATGTGAAAGGTTTTTATCGCACTCTGATCAGTTTCTTGGCCCACAGTAGTTTAACAATGGTTGTTTTTGCACTTTCAATATTATCAAGTCTTACATTAAATGAAGAAGTTGGAGAAAAGGTAAGCCTGACTCAATTTAAAAGAAGCTTCTGCATAGTATTTATATATCTATTCCTTTATTTACTATAATTTCTACATCACATAATTTCCAATGGCTCTGAGTAGCTTACCTTAAGAAACATTTTTTTTTAAAAATTACAATCTAATAACAATATCCCTTAACAATAATCTTATCAAGTGCTGCTGTTGATCGGACAACCCAGCCCATTATCTGGCATACCTTTGGAAAATTCCTTGGAATAGCCTTAGGAAATCTTGGAGATTTAAATTGTGTGATCTGGTTAGCTGACTAAATAAGTCCTTCTATCCTAAAGAGAGTCTTAGTATGGGAAGTTCTAAAGACATGAGAAGGATTTGCCTGTGACAAAGTATTGATACAAATACCCACAATCAGTATGTATCTCATATATTCTAAGAAAAAAAAACTATGTCTAGTATTCGGAGTCCTAAATTGGGCTTGATACTCACAGACTCCTAAGTAAGACAATTTGAAGTTCCATAAGACCAAAAATCTGATAGCCCCTTCCTTCCATTGAATTCAATTGACTTGAGCTATGTAATGTAAAATTCATATGATTGTAAATCAGTTTTGTTTGTTTAGCTGTTTCATTCCAGAAATATTCACCAGACTTTTCAGTTAATATTTAATATCCTTGTGAATGGTGATGGAACACTAACAAGAAAATATTCTGTGGATCTGCTTATGGATCTCCTGAAGAATTCCAAGATTGCAGATTATCTTACCAAGTAGGCTTTACATAATAAATAATATTTTTTTTACATCCCTCTAATTATATATAAATATATTTTACATTTCTTGTAAACATTTGTCCTAGTTGGTTCTTATTGAATGATTTCATTTGCTATATTCTTCCAATCTTTTCTTTGATTCTTTGGTTCTTAAGATATGAATTAAATTCTATAGTACTTTCCTATAGCTTTAATTTCTATTTAATGTAAGGTAATAAGAAATCATTCTCTGTCAGGACATGTCAATAATTGGGCTAAATCAGGTTATACAGCTAGTTTTTTCTAAAATTTTAATTAGAAAAATATTGTATATTGTGAAATGCACCATTTTAGATGTGGGTCCCTTGTTTTAATTACATAAAAAGCTGTAACAGAATAAGCTGCATGTCAAGCCTGAATTGATCAGGTTGTGGGATTGTTTGACATCTGGGTTGCCTCGGAGTTCGATTTGTGAGGGATGCATTACTTGGAACCTGACACTGCAACTGCAGGGCTAGGGTCATTCTCCTTTCAGAATTTTCATCTTGCTGATAAGTATTTCAAATATTTTTTATTCTACACCATTAACAAATTAATATACAGCATTGGTTTTCGTTTACCAAATGTGAACATGCTTGGTTTTGGGGTAGGACTTGTATTGGGACCATGTTTTAAAAAAATCAACTTAGGGCTTATTTTGGGATAGATCTTTTTTTCGGGGAAACACAACAGTTCACAGCTAATGATTGGCTGGAAAATGGCAGCAGCAAAGTAGTTGGATTTACTTTACTTATCTGGTCCTACGGAATGTTTCAGAGCTCACGTTAGCAAAGCAAAGCAAAGCAAAGCAAGCCATTCCATTGTTGGGCTGCACAGAGCAATTTCACAAGCGGCTGCCATTTTCCAAGTGGACCCTTCTGAGATCTTATCATATAGCCACAAGCTCCTGAATGCAGCCACTCCTGAATGCAGCCACTCTGAAAGTGACGGCCACTTGTGGGATTGCAGCAAGCACAGTCCCAGGAACTAAAAGCTTTCTTTTGCTTTGTTAATGTGAGCAAAGCAAAGTAAGGCTCTCCCTTACTGGAATCCCCTAAGAGGCTATCAGTTCTGGAAAAGCTGCTTCAGGAATCATGCCACCCACCCACAAGCATGTAGCCAACATGCCACTATGTACATGCTGGGAGAGAAGGCTGCTGCATTGCACAAGTGCATGTAAGCTAGAAAGAGCACGCTTTGGCGCAAGCACGCTCTTGAATGCAATCTTGTATTTCATAGTTAGTGTCTTGGGGTGGGGAGATAACACACAACCTTGCCTGCCAGTTTCCTCATTAACTTTGCTTGTGGAAAATAGCAATGAAGTTGCAAATGGTAATTATGTGACCACAGAATTCTGACTGTTATAAGTGTGAGTCAGTTGCCAAGCATCCAGGTCAGGATCACAAAACTGCTGGTATCATGCCTAGAAGTTCAAGAAACAGACAGTAATGTTTGCTAAATCCCTTATCGCCGTGGTCCCCAACCTTTTTATCGCCGCGGACCAGTCAGCCTAAACCTAACCCTAA